TCCAACAATTGTGATTCGGATAAATTAAAATTTAAAGATTTCAGTAAACTTATCTTTTTCCTGGCATACTCGCTATATGACTCGGCAGTTCGGCTGATGTAGAGGCTAGCGTTGCGTAGCTTCTCGTTGAGATTTTTCTTTGCAGGAAACAAATTACTAATTTCAGCCTTAAAGATGTCCCAATTTTTCCTCGTTGCGATGCCAAGTGGAGTACTAGTCCTGAGCTTCACCTTTGAGACTGCTTGTGGCTCGCATCAACATCTCATACTGTTTCCAATTAAAAGTTGAACCCAATTTTTCAATTTCTGAACACCAAAAATTAGCTCCTTTATCGTCGATTTTTGGGTCGTACGTAGGAATGTCGATGGAAGTGGATGGACCAGAAGCACGATTTGTTTGTTCTTGCATTCCTCTCAACACACTCGCTAACACTTCCGTTAATTATTCCATTTTATTGCTTTTAATCACTTTTTGATTATGAACGACACAACCGACACTTGAACTTTGTCTGCTTTTATTTAATATTTAATAAGTTGTTAAGTTCCGTGTACACACACGTTTTTCTTGGGGCTATTCTTTTTTCTGATTTTTGGATTTTCGAATCCCACTCCTGATGTGAGATTTTTAAATGGAAAATCTCGAGTTTGGCTTTAATAACAATTAATAACCCAAATTGCCGTTTATTAAATTTAATCATGAATGCTTACACAATAGGTTTACACCTGGCAAAAGCTTATTAGAGAATGTCCTCGAACAAAAGAATAATTGAACTAGTAGGTTTGCTTCATTTGGTCCGGTAGTTCCCCGGGATTTTAGTCGTATTCCGGCTGGTCGGCGCCGGAACCATAACATAAACAGGTGATGTGATAGAGTTCGTGAGAATGCTCACATATACATTTTATTAATAGTATTTAGTTTAATTGCAATAATTAAGGTGTAAAACATATTAACAATAAGTACATAAGTTCAAGCTAACGGCAAAATTGCATAAAAAATAATAATATTGTAACGTAATCAAACACGTTCCTCACTATTACTAAATTTATTTAATTATTTACTTTTTAATCAACATCATTATTATTAAATATTAATTCCTAACTACATCGCACACCTTATCGCTTCTTAGCTATTTCTACATCGCTTTGCATCGCCTCGTAACTGGAACCCGTACTAACTAACTTACTATTCCGATCTCGTGGAAACTATTAATAGGGGCTGGCCTTGTTCTAGAAAGATTCAGAATGTGACGTCTACAAAATGTGGTCTTTTTTATTACTAAGTATGTTGGGTTATCTACATGTGACACTGTATGTCGACCCGATCAGTGACGTCGCCTCTATAGAGAGTAAGCCTGTCAAGATGGGCGATCTTCATTTTTGCCCAAGGTCCTTTCTGAATTCGACAAACAACATCGTTGATGCGTTGAGTGACGATATTAAAACCAGCAGAGTTGACTCGACGATCGTATCTCGTCTTAATGCGGTCACTATATGCAGTATAAAACTGTACAAAGCGATGCAGTTTCAAACAGGGTACTCTGGATTGAGGTAAATTGTAAAAAAAGGATACTCTTTTGGATACAGCAGTTTATAGGTCTCCTTACAGCAATTCTAACGAGTTACTGAATTATTTTGAAGAATATTATATGAAACACTTTAAGAAACTCCAAGTGGTCAATATTTTAAATATTGTTGAGATAAATCAAAGAATTGTTTAAATTTAGTAATTCTCTTCTAAATTGTCACATGTCAATTCTGCCTAATCTAAAAATGTTGTTACTATTAATCAAGTATTGTGTGAAATTGTTTTTTGGCAGTTGTTAATGTTTACTTAGAAACTAGANACCGCGTATAATCTTTCTGCACTGTTGACTTCATTACAAAGACATCCGCCGGCATGTTTTTGATATTAACTAGAGACAAAAGCTGAAAACATCGTGTAGGTTTATGACTAGCAACCTTTTTCACACCTGATAAATTTAATATCTACTACGAACCATTCCAAAAATGTCGACCATCGCTTGGTAGTAATTCTCATTTTCTCTATTAAAAAGTGCCTCGTGCTTTCACCAACTTTTAAAACTGAAAATGAAATTACTACTTTCCGTAGTCAAAGGAAATAGAAAATTTATTTATGGGATTGTATTAAAACTAATTCGGAAGTTTTTATTTCTATTAATTCAGTATAAGAATTATTAACCTGTCTAATTTTTCACATCTATGAAACGCATGACATAGGGCTTTAATAATTCACTAGTATCCTGCGGATATAGGGTAAGAAACCCCATTTACAATAGGAACATTGAGGATACAGCTCGAAAGGGTTCCGTCACGAATGACAACCTGTTTCCTTTACAGGATTTATCGGGAATATTATCTATACGTCGACCGAAGAGGGGTTAAAGTTAATCTCTATGTCAAAATATAAAGAGAAAATTGTGACAGTGGTATCTACACGACAAAAATCACTAGATACGTAAAAAAAATGCTATAGATTTTTTAGATTTAAAAAAATGGAAAAACTATCTTATTTATACGAATTCTGTTATTATAACTAGCCAAAAAATACCACTAATTACTACAAGCAAATTAAATAATATTAATGTGAAAATTCATTTTCTATGCACTACAAACTGTCTGAGGTTTATGAAGGAAAATTTGTTCCGGGTTCGGTTCCCGACGAGCGTGTGACAACAGCAACAAATTTTCCCTCATTAACCCGTGGTAGTTTGTAGTGGATAAAAAATGAATTTTCCAATGCGTTGACTACTAAGCTACGAGAGGTGGCAGCAGAAACAACGACGAAACATACTTTGAGGTTATTTATAATGGATAAAAAATGAATTTTCACATTAATATTTTGAAAACGTAATATCTGATAGCACGATGCATAATCAAAAAACAATAATACGTTACTACTTCAATATAGATTTATTAAAAACGGCAATGACCATGGAAAATTTCTGAGAATTGTGCATGATGCAGGTACTAGACAAAATTGTTAGCAAGGAAACAAAAATTACGAATGTTTCGTCAACTTTGATCAATTGTAGTATAACTAATGATTTTGACATTATAGAACTACCAAGAGAATTTCTAATAATATCAGATTATCAAATTATTGGCACACAGTTTATGTGCAGGTATTTAGTATAGTATGCGACATATAAAGGTTAGAGGGAAGTGCGTTCGGGCATCTCTCGAACGATAGAGGTATTGGTGAAATGTGGAAGGGATTAATGTACTGGAAGGGAAGAACAGGATGATCGATCGGTGGAAGAAGGTTCGAAGAAGAAGGTCGATACAAGTTAAAGTAGTCGCACGGTAAATTTTGGTGGCAAATGGAAAATACGTTCCTATCACCTATCAAATACATACACCTACAGAAGAAGTAAAGGTCCAGGGACAACGTGTGGATATGTCCTCGCGTCTGGAGTAAAGTAAAAGACGAAACTAATAACTTCTTCTCCCGAGGACATAAGAGATAGCAAGGACCTCAGCAGGTAGACCGGTTTTATTATATTTTTAAAATTTCTTTTATTTTGATTTAATTGTCTATTATCTTTTTATTTTGGGTTTCGATACTTTAATATTAAAATTTTTAATGTGAAATGGCGGTTTTTCTTTCTGGTACTACAAAAAGGATCTCATTTGTAAAAATACCCTGAGTATGTGCATTTTTACAACATCAACTGATGCAAAGGTAATCTACTCTGATTTTGTTTTGATTATTGAAAGTGCGGTTAACAAAGTAATTTCTAAAAAATTACGTGTAATAAAATAGTCCCAATGGATTACTTTTATTCATCATCATAAAGTCTTCAGTCCTAAGACTGGTTGGACACGTACCTCCACACTTTTTCCTATCCTGAGCTAAACTTCGCAAAACCAAAGAAATTAATGATTGAAAGTTATACTGACACTGTAGTAATAGAATGACATCATTAATAATAATTGTGGCGAAAAGAGAAAATATGATATTTTTTCACGGATAATCAGCTTTCAGAACAGATCATTCCTGTGAGTCGATGCTGCATGTGTATCATGGAGAAAAGACATAAAAACAAGATGGTGTTATGACTTACATACGTTCGAAACCATTAATCGCGAAAAATTAGTTAAAAACTTGCGTTGTATGTGGTTAAAAGTAGTACAAACCTTAGGTTAAATAAAATTTAAGCGATAGGGATCATAAAATTAAAATAGACGGTGTGTCAAATAAGATTGGATACCCCATAGGGCAGTATATTGGGTCATATATTGTTTCTTATACACATAATGAAGTACAGGAAATTTTAGGAGACTCATTTGTAAATTTATTTGTGGATTGTCATATGTGTCCAGAAATAATTTTGTGGAAATATCTAATATATTAACTAAGGAACTGAAAGTACGTTATTATGTCAAAATAAACTAAAATTAGATATATAGAAAGCAAATTGTATGTAGTATAAGATAGTGATAATTATAAAAATAAGATAGTGTAGTAGTATTATTATTTTACTCAGTTGAGGTAGTCGTTTAAGTTTTAAATAGGTAGGTAATAAAGGGATCGTCTGGTTTTGATGTAAATAGTAAAGCAATAGGTAATTTTTGGGCAAAAAAAATATTTCGATCGTGTATTCCCATCCCGTAGATCAATCGCGACCCCTTTTTTACCTATTCGACTCTGTTCATTTACTAAAATGTATTAGAAGCAATTGGTTGAATTCCAAACCTGATCTAATGCTGTATTATCCCGATTTTGAGACAGATACTGAACAAAGAGCTTAATTTAAAAGCTTACGGTGTGTTCATACTTTAGAACATGATAAATTATCGAAATTTGGTTATTCATTAAGCTTAAAAATCTTGTTTCCATCTTCATTAGAACGGCAAAACGCTTCCTTGGCTTCCTTTCAGTCCTTTCGTAGTGCAGGCTTTGCTAAAATTCGAATATAATATTGGCAATTCTAAAGATACTGCTGATATTATTCAAATAATCTTAACTTAGTAAATATTTTAACGAAAAAGGTACATGAAAAAGGATCTAAATACAAAACAATAATCTACGAAGGATGGTCGGAGGAGGATATTTTAAATTACAACAATAAGTTAAAAGAATTAGGAAGACCAGAAAATTGGAACGGACTCAGAGAAAAGCTAAAAGCAGCGGTATGTATAAAGGAAATAAGGATTAATACAAGTATCCAGAAAAAGAAATGGTGGGATCAAGAATGTCACGCAGCAAAACTAGAGTTAAAGAAGACAAGGAAAAAATATATAGAAACAGGTGAACTGAAAACAGATTACTGTGAATGTAAAAAGAAATACAAAAAAATAATTGAGGATAAGAAACGACTGACATTGGAGAAAGACTGGTCAGAAGCAAGAAAGGACAAAACGGGAAAGAAGTTCTGGGAGTTAATAAACAAACAAAGAACAAAAAAAGAAGAGATAAGTAAAAAAATACATATGGTTGAATGGACTGAGCACTTTGCTAAACAAATGGGAGGAAAAGTAGTAGAAGAAACAAGACAGCTGGGTAAAGAAGAGAAAATAGAAAAAAATGAAGATCAAGAAATAACGCAAGAGGAAGTAGAACAAGTAATAAAGAAGCTGAAAAAGAAAAAGGCGGCTGGAGAAGATAAAATCACAAATGAAGCCTGGATATATGGTGGAAAGGAATTACAAGAGAACTTGCAAGGAATACTAAATAAAATATGGAATGGAGATGAAGATCTGCCTGAGGAATGGAAAATGGGAATAATAAAACCAATTTTCAAGAAAGGAGATAGACATAAACCGGAAAACTACAGAGGAATAACTCTTATGAACACAGGATATAAAATTTACGCGGAAATACTTAGGAAAAGATTAGAAAAGGAATTGGAAGACAAAAAAGCATTAGGAGAGACGCAGATGGGATATAGGAAAAATAAAGGAACTATTGACGCAATATACATAGTTAAAACGGCCATCGAAGAAGAAATAAAGAAAGAAAAAGGTGAAATTTTCCTCTTCTTTGCAGACATGAAAGGAGCTTTCGATAAGCTTAAAAGAGATACGATATGGAAGACCTTAGAAGAGCTAAATATAGAAAACAAATTAAAAGAGAGGATAAGAGAAATTTATGAGGAAACTTACTTTAAGATAGAAGTTAATGGGGAAAAATCAAAGATTATATCAATGAGAGAAGGCATAAGACAGGGGTGTCCACTGAGCACAGTACTTTTTAATGCAACATTTGCAAACTTAGAGAAGAAAATGAGCACAGCGCAAGAAGGAGGTATAGTAATCGGTAGAAAAAAAATTTGGTCAGTGTCATATGCAGATGACATAGTTTTATTAGCGAATAATGAAAGAGGAATGAGGGAAATGTTAACAAAATTCAACAAATACATAAAGGAAAGAGGGTTGGAATTAAATACAGACAAATCAAAAATTTTAAGAGGGAAGAAGGCAGGAGGAAGAAAGAAAAAAGTCGAATTCCAATGGAACGGAAAAACAATCGAAGAGGTTACAGAATTTAATTACTTAGGCTTCATATTACAGAGGAATAATGGAGTAGACAAGCACATTAAAAATCTGAAAAAGAAGGCATTAAGTGTAATGGGAAAAGTATGGGGAATAGGAGAAAGAAACTTAAGAGATTGCTGGAAAAAGAGAATGTTTCTTTTCGAGACACTAGTAGAAAGTATAATAATGTATGGGGCAGAAATCTGGGGATGGGAAGAGAGAAAAGAAATCGAAAGTATTCAGGACAGATATATTAAATGGACACTAAAGCTAGATAAGAGTACTCCGAGATACCTTCTTCAGGAAGAAACTAAATATGAAAAACTGACCATAAAATATTCAAAAAGGGCCTTAAAGTACGAAGAAAAAATATTAAATTCCGAAGGCAACGCAATACTAAAAGAATGTGTAAAAGTTAAGGACAAAATTGCGCTCTTGCAAAAGGAAGAAAAGAAAACCACAAGGGAAAGATGGAAAAAAGAAAGAAAGAATTTTTTAATGGAGAGAGGGTGGTCAATCAAACATTATATATGGAAGCTGGAAAATGAGAGAAATGTATGGAAGGAACTAGAAAACTTAACTAAAGATATTGACAAACAAAGAAGGAGAGAGAAAATGAGAAACATGAAATTCGCTCAAGAGTACAAGATATTATGGAAAGAAGGAGAAGAAAAACCTCATTATTTGAAAGATGAAGGAGTAAAGAGAAAAAACCACCTACAATTAACTGCAAGATTCAGATTGGGAAGCGAAAATAGAGCGTCAAGGTATTGGGAGGAAGAAGAAAAGAAATTATGCAGATTATGTAAAAAGGAGCCAGAGACGCTTGAACATATTTTTGAGCGATGTGGGGAAACGGGAAGTTCTGCAAAAAGCTGGAAAGCTCAACTGGAAGGAGTGAACAACATGAAAAGGATGAGAGAAATCTTATGGAAGAGAAAAATAGCAGGAGAAGAAAAATAATAAAAATTGTACTTGGTATATATAAAACATATTTTTGCACCTTGTATATATAAAACATAATGTTTTTAATAAAGCTATCTATCTATCTATCTTAACTTAGTGGAAAATTGTCAATGTAAAGCATCCTCTAAACGAATATCAAGAACCCTTTGCAGCAAAAAATTTTGTTAATGACATCAAAATTACATTTTTAAATAAATTGGTTAGACGCATACAAGTCGCATTCTTTCGAAAATAAATTAACTTTTCAAACTCATACAACTTTCTACCATACTGGATTACTAGAAATTTCGAATTATTATTTTAACGAGTTAAAAATGAATTACGCTTTATTAGGTAAATTTTAAACAGATGACTTAGAACATAGGTTCGAAAAATACCATCTTTCTGATGGACAGTACCATATTTCAATGAGACAGCTATATGAATCTGAGAAAAAACTCCGGACACAATCGATGTCAATGCTGAAATCTCGCATGTATTGGTATTTACAAGTAACACAATTTCACGGAAAAATTGACGATTCATGCGATAATAATATGTTTAATCCTGACATACTTGTTGACGAATCAGATTTAGATAGGCTTATAAACGACTTGCCTGTAATTACGTTGCTTGTTGCTTTGAAAAGGATAAAATGCAATATTTGTAGGCAAAATTTAGTGCATGACGATGAACTTATCATTGAAGGTTATTCATTAATAAAAAAATTAGGTAGGCAAAAGTTGCTTTTTCCTAAAGATCCTGTAGTTGATATTGTTTTGTTTTCATTAGTTGTATTTAACAAAACTATTATCGACTATGAAGAAGTTTTTTTAAGCGTAAGTAAGAAGCGTCTGTTTCTCTGCAAATGTGTTTTCAAAGTGATTTGTGACATGATTTCCTGCTTTCTTTTAACAGGTGTACAGATCATACTAGTGGCAGTATTATAAACATAATTATAAAATGTAGTACAAATAGTCTTCTTAAAAATTATTACCTACAGTAAGAACAACAATCGTTTAACGAAACCTTCTAGAAACAGAAAATTAGCAATTTTAACCAATAAAACATAAAATAAAAGTAAAACCGGAATTTTTTCAGTTCCCTTTTTGGAATTTTGGGGATATTGTATATCTATACGCTATTATTTACTATAAAAATTTGGTTTTTCTCTTTACAAACATTTTGTCTGAAAGTCTCTTTAAATAATCACAATATTCGAATTTCCAGTCTACGCTCGTATACTGTCGGATGGACCGACCACTCAGTCGACTAGTGCTGACATCACCCGTAAGCACTATGGCTTTATTATTCACGAAGGTAACGAGTAGATAGACACCGAGAAAGTTAACGTTGGAAATGTTAGATGTAATTATAATTTACCTTCTGTTAAAACAACATTACTGCAGAAGACTTGAAGGTGTGTCACTTTTTAACGCTCTTCCTAATGCAGTAGACGGAGCTGCGATTCTGAAGATTCTTAATAGAGATTTTTGATTATTTATGAAATATACCTAAGTTAGATTAGCTAGGAGTTAAATTATATTTTTAGGGCGACAATTTATTTTGTATTATGTATTAGATTAAATTAGTGTTCGCAAATAGTTAAGGATTGGGTTGTTCTAGTTTTGGGGAAATGCGAAAATTAGCTCAGGATAGGAAAGAGTGGAGATGCGTGTCCAACCAGTCTTAGGACTGACGACCATATGATGATAATGATTAGCAAAATGCTAAATAAAGTACTATTATTATTTTTGTTTTCACTGGTAACTTTGAGCAAGTGAAGACGGGCTAATGCCAAAGAACCTCACTCACATCCTTTGCGAAATGATATTGAAACCAATTTTCTGTTCTTAAATTATATAGAGCTAACGGTACTTCTTGCCCTGAAATATGATTAGTGATTATTAAAAACTCCGCTTCTAATTTAACCTGTTGTGTTTTCTGAAAAGGGGGATATGTTATTACTGTTAAGAAATCTGCTCACTATTCCGCAAGTATCAAGGATTACTGATTTATGTAGATTTATGTACGTAAACTTATGAAGTTTCAACTCGGCTAGGCTAGCCTGTAATGTTTTAGGTTTCCACATTTTTTTTATTTCATCCGCTAAAGGAATATATTTTTGAATTTTCTCAATACGTTTTTGTTAAAGATTTGAAGTGTTTGGTACAGCAACATCTATTAGGTAAGTCGTTTTAGTTTCTTTGATGGCCAGTGTGATATCAGGTCTGTTATGATTAACTGTTTTATCTACAATTACGTCTCTATTCCAATAAAGCTTGGCTAAGTGGTTTTCTAATAAATTTTGTGGTTTGTATTTGTAGTACGGCTGTATCTGATCTATGAGTTTAAACTTTTTGGCTAACAGCGAGTGTATCTATTTAGTAACATTATTTTGCCTGTTGAGATATTGTTGGCTAGCTAAAAATGAGCAACCCCCAGTGATGTGGTTAATTGTTCCGCGAGATGTGTTGCATGTTCGGCATGTGTCTGATGAAATTTTGGGATTTTTAATAATATATTTTTCATAGTTTTCTGTTTCTGAGAATATGGTTCCTTTTTTTAACCACATATTAGAAGCTTCTTTATCTATATGTTCCTGCTGTTGTTGGTTCGGGTATTTTCCATGAAGCACTTTTGATTTCCACATTTCAATTTTTAATTTTTCTTTCATAAATTTGTCCTCAGGATTAAAATCTACATCATTAAGGTATATTGATGTACCAGAGGTTGAAATGACACAGATTGAATTATGTAATGAACTATTAGCACTTCTTGCTCTAAAATATGACCGCAAATTAATATATTATTATTCTTCTGGTCTTCTCAGTTTTCACTGGTAACTTTGAGCAAGTAAAGACGGGCTAATGCCAAAGAACCTCACTCACATCTTTTGGGATATAGAAACCAATTTTCTGTTCCTAAAATTTAGGGAGGTAACGGTTCTTCTTGCCCTGAAATATGATCAGTGAGTATTAAAAACTCCGCTTCTTATTTAAACTGTTGTGTTTTCTAAAAAGGGGGATATGTCAGTGCTGTTAAGAAATCTGCTCACTATTCCGCATGTATCAAGGAATATGGATTTCTGTAGACTTATGTAAGTAAACTTATGCAACTTCAACTCGGCTAGGCTAGCGTGTAATGTTTTAGGTATGCCGCTTATTGATGATGTTATTATTAGAATAATTCGAACTGTGTTCTGATTCCACATTTTTTTTATTTCATCTGCTAAAGGAATATATTTTTGAATTTTCTCAATATGTTTTTGTTTAAGATTTTCAGTGTTTGGTACAGCAACATCTATTAGGTAGGTCGTTTTAGTTTCTTTGATGGTCAGTGTGATATCAGGTCTGTTATGATTAACTGTTTTATCTGTAATTACGTCTCTATCCCAATAAAGCTTGGCTAAGTGGTTTTCTAATACATTTTGTGGTTTGTATTTGTAGTAGGGCTCTATCTGATCTATGAGTTTAAACTTTTTGGCTAACAGCGAGTGTATCTGTTTAGCAACATTATTATGCCTGTCGAGGTATTGTCGGCTAGCTAAAAATGAGCAACCCCCAGTGATGTGGTCAATTGTTTCGCGAGATGTGTTGCATGCTCGGCATGTGTCTGATGAAATTGTGGGATTTTTAATAATATATTTTTCATAGTTTTTTGTTTTTATTATTTTGTCCTGAATCGCTATCATGAATCCCTCAGTTTCTGAGAATATGTTTCCTTTTTTTAACCACATATTAGAAGCTTCTGTATCTACATGTTCCTGCTGTTGTTGGTTCGGGTATTTTCCATGAAGCACTTTTGATTTCCACATTTCAATTTTTAATTTTTCTTTCATAATTTTGTTCTCAGGATTAAAATCTACATCATTAAGGTTTAGTGATGTACCAGAGGTTGAAATGA